GATTTAAATTTAGAAACCCCTTCCTAGAAACAACATCACACACCCAAATGACGAAATCTGCAATCAAAACCCTAGCCCAAACTGAACTGGATACCACAACGTTAATCGATATCACAGAAAACTCTAAGGGACTTGGCCCAGCGTTTCTCAATCGATTCCCTCCTACATCATCTTCGATTTATCCATAAGTTGAAAAACATCTCCCTTTCTCAAAACCTCTCTATCGTACAGCGGAAGGGGAAAGACCAGCTCTTTCCATCAGAAATTGGCATCCACCAATGCTCCAATGGAATGATTGGGTGGATCGCGTATCGGTAGCAAAAGGAGACCAGTGGAAACGGATGGGTATCTTTGACGTCATACAACTTAGTAAGATTCCCTTTACCTTTGGCAGACCTTTGTTTCTTTGCTTCTTTGCATTTCTGGTCACCCACTACCAATTCACTACACTTGCACTATGGAATGATGGCCCCTGCATTAAGGGACATTTGTTTTCTCACGGGTTTGAAGCCTGGAGGAGATGAAATCAATTATCTCCTCCAGATGAAGAGACCTCTTTTTACTTTCCAGAACAAAAAGGTTCTAAACCTCATGTGCAATCACACGACCTATTTTTAAAAAAAATGATTGGGAAAATGGGACTGAAGTAGATGAACAAGAGCATAAAGGGTTTTTGCTGTTATGGTTATGTAGATATCTGCTGTATGCCCCTGCTATCCAAATTACCAAAGACCTTACTCAGTTGGCCATTGCATTATCCAAAAGAAAACCCATGGCCTTAGCTCTATTCCTTTTAGCTTCTTTGTACAGAGGTTTGTCCGACCTTATTATTTCCAATTTTTCAAGATCTGGAGGTCCATTTTGGCTCTACCAATTCTAGCTACATGTTTATTTCCTTGAATTAGCATCCCTATGATACCCCTCGATTCTAGAGCCACGGGTGATCAAGTCCGAGCAAAGATCCGAGGGATACCAAACAATTAGCTATGTAAATGAACACAGAATATGAAAGAAACTAAGAATAAATAAAATAGTAGAAAAGAAAACTAAGTAATAAATCCTCCAAATGAATTATCCAAGACCTTAATTTATCGTTATAACTCGGGAATCCATCTACTTATTCCAACTGAAACAACTTAAAATAACCATAATCAGATTCTAAAACATAAGGAGAGTCCTACATAGAACCGAAAGAATGATGTGGACTGTCTCTGCTCAGCACAAACAAACTCTATGTCTGGAACTGACGAGCACCTGAAAAAAAATAATAGTGGGTCAGGCCCAAGAATAAGTTCTTTCTACGACAACCCAAATAGAGACCAGATAAACTATATATCTATAGCTAACCTATGCAATAGTTAAGTAATCCGTATATATATATATATATATACACACACACTAAAGGAACCTCACTAGACTATAAGGTTGTCTCAACCTGAATAGTAGGCAACATGCAAAACGCAGGTATAGTGGGTATGAGTACCTAAACTTACTAGGGAAACAATTACATTATATCTAGTTACACATCTTTGGCAATATACGCATCCTAACCATGATCTTGAGACTCAAGCTCATATCATGGCATATGTCTATATATATATATATATATATATCCAATCTAAATTAATCCATTATGTATCATCCAACTGGTTCAGTTGATCTAACACAAATATAAGTAGGACTTAACATTTTAGTTAATCCGTTCCCTTATAAAATAGGTAGGACTTAACTGATAAGTTAATCCATCCCTAGAGTGCCACTATCCCATACTGGTGCACTAAATCCACATAATCCAACAGTTGATGTAACAATTTCAAAAGTACATCAAATAATCTAGAGTTAAACATAATAAAATTATATCATGCTATCATAAAATCTGAACAGCTTATAATTTATTTAAGCTTCCTACATCACACATCCTACACATACTGAATCTTAAATAGATTGATATTTTACTACATAATCACTTAAGCATTCTCCATATAATATTCATGCTGTACATTTAATCTTAATTATTAGAACAAATTAAAAGATTAAATCCAGTCGTTTGTTAAAAATATTCAAATAGCAAACATCATTATGATTGAGTCTATTTAAATTTATTTAAACCTAAACCTAAGTCCCTATTTGATATTCAAGTCCCTTTAAAATAAAAAAGAAGTAACACTACGCTGTTTACGAAACTTCTCTAGGTAATGCTCTAGCTTTTGTCCTAAATGCTCGAGCACCCTGTCTAAGGCTCGAGCTTTTTATCCTAGTTGCTCGAGCTTTCATTCTTAGGCTCGAGCTTTACATCTAATTGCTCGAGCTTTATAACCAATTGCTCGAGCTTTTCATCCAAAGCTCGAGCTTTGCCCCCAAGGCTCGAGCACTGTAACAGTGGTCCGAGCACTGTTACGCGAATCAACCCAGAATTTCACTATGCATTCATTCTTTATTTGTTTCAAGAATCCTAGACATGTTTCTACGTTCCATCAATATACAGATATAAAAAACATTATGTATAACATGTAACAAAACATAATGTAATCCAATCAAATTCAATTTATACACAAGAACAAATATGAACAAACTAATTAATAAAACCTAGTTCTAGATTAATTAAAACATGGATTCTAATTTTAATTACCCTTTAAACATCCCTAAAGTTATATAAGAGATATATAGATTACAGATCTAAGAGAGAGGTGTAGAACAAAGAACTTGCCTTTAGGATTTGATAAAACCCTAGCCTCCTTCTTCTTCTTCCTCTTCCTCCTTCCTCATTCTTTTTTTTTTTTTTTTTTTTTTCTCTCTCTCTAAAATATACGTGATATAATTCTAGCCCATTTTCCTAACCCTATAGGTATATATTTATAGGCTACATATTCACCCTATTCCTTTTCCCAATCCACATCTAGATTATGGTTTTGGACTTTAAATTGCTGAACTGTTATTTAGGTTCTGTAATTTACATAAATGTTGTGGATCATATGTACCGGTATGGGACGGTGGCATACTAGGGATGGTTCAGCTTAGAAAGCTAAGACCTACCATATGGGAATAAGGGAATGGATTGTAAACATTGAATCCTACTTATATTTAGGTCAGATCAACTAAGTAAGTTGAGTGACTATATGGATTAACTGTTGAGTGTAGTTAAGTCATATCAACTGAATAAGTTGAGTGACTAACTGGATTATAAATTGCATGTCAGATCAATGAACAATTGAATGACATACTCTGGTTTTGAACGGACTTTAAATATATGATTATGGTATCATGAGATGAGCTTGAGTCTCAGGCTCGTAGATTAGGGTGCGTATATGCAGTAGATGCGTAGTTGGCTATGATATGCTGTAGTATAACCTGTTAGGTCTAGGTACTCATGCCCATCTTTGGGTGCGTTTTTACATGTTGCCTTCTATTCAGGTTGAGACTCCTTTGTAGTCAAGTGATTGTCCCTTAGTGTGGATATATATGTATTTATGGACTAAGTAGATATTGTGAGATATCTAGGATGTATCTGCGTATCGGGACACTATATGGATTACAGTTAGATTAGAACTTGTTCGTGGGCCTGACCCACTCTTATATTCTTTTCAGGTACGAGACGGTTCCAGCCTTAGAGCTTGATCGTGCTTGTCAGAGACAGTCACTCATTCATCTGTTTACGTAGGACTTCTCTTTATGATTTTATTTCCAGTTTTTTAGTTCAGTTGGGATTTGGTTTTGGGGTCCACTAAATGGATTCCCGAGTTGTACACTTGGAAGTTTTGAAGAATTGGATTATGATTACCATTTTGAGGATTTTATATTTAATAATTCTTATCAGCATATTTATTTAATATTTAATTCTTAAATCTTTTATATTCTGTGTTCGTTTATATATTAATTGTTTGATATTCACTCGTGTTTGGGCTTGGGCCTGATCAACCTATGTCTTGGATTCGAGGGGTATCACAATTGGTATCAGAGTATTCTAGGTTCAAGTGTCTCTAGGATGTTTCGTTTTAAAACTTCTGCGTAACTTTTTCTCTTGATTAGAGCTTAAGTTTAGGATTCATTGTATTCCTATACGGTCCATTTAAATCGTACTGATGTCTGTCTTTCTATGTTAATAGCATGGTTAACGCTAGAAGAGGACAGAACATAAACAGTCGATAGAGGAGAATGTCACGTAGGCAGTAAGAATGCCTGCGGCGTCAGCAAATGGAGGAAGAACAACAAATGCCTGGGTTTCAGGATGATGATGGTTAGTTTCAGAAAGAGCAGGAAGAGGTTCAGCAGGCTCAGGATCAGGTCAGAGATCCAGAGTATCCTTCTCATATCAACAATCTCATTGCTCGGGCTATAGAAGCAGGGGTAACAGCTGCACTTCGGAATCAGCCAGAGGTTCAGTATGTACCGATACCAGCACTAGTTTTCAAGTTGATACTTGGGAAAAGGTTAGGAGTTCTTTTACAAAGGGGAGCCCACCTGAGTTTTCAGGCTCCATCGATGCGAAAGCAGCTCACCAGTGGAAACAGGACATCGAGTGACATCTTCGCTTGGTTCATTGTATGGAGGTTCAGAAGCAGATGCTTGCTACTTTCAAGCTAGTTGGGGATGCATTACAGTGGTAGAAGTCAGTTACCACTGCAGATGAGAGAATATTATTGACTTATGATTAGTTCAGTGCACGTTTTGATGATAAGTACTTTCCTTATGCAGTCAGGGCAGCTATGAAGACTGAGTTTCCAATTTTCTCGCTTGGCTAAGCTTATCACATTAGTTGATGTGATTGGAGGGAATGGATTGGTATCCACCTTCATGGTGTCTGAAGTTTTCCCTGGGAATTTTAAAGTACCTTCATTAATAGCTTTCTGCAATACACCTCGTAGAACAGTACAATTATTAGTAGCATGGTTCCAGGAGTTATAATACTTATAATACTCTTTTCCTTTCAAGTCACTTGCCGATGGAATCTTATGCCCCTTAGGTAAATATATCATTTTATCGGTCATCAAGTGATCAAAGATTTAATCTATTTTTGATAAATCAAAAGAATAGATTTTCCCGGTATCGGTAGCTTCTTTCCTTACTGCTGATGTTGATGTTGCATTGCCCCCCGTGGTCGGCTTAGGTTTGATCAATGCCTCACAGATATATGGCTTCTTGATATTGACCTCAGCAACGTCAACTTCTAATTCATCACCAACTTCTACCGAGAACACCTCATAATTAGGGTCTTTGTAGTAAGTACCCTTAGAGGAATTCTTCTTTTCTTTCTCTTTTTTAAGTATCTCCTCATACCAAGTGGTTTTGTCTGCTAAATCGAAGAGATCTTGGAATTCAACCCTATCAAACCTTTTGCGATGTTCAATATCTAAACCATTTAATGCCAACTTGATATATTCTGGTTCTGGCAAACTTACTCGACATTTGAGTTTAGCTTTCCTGAACCTGGCCACAAAAGTTTCAACCGATTCGTTCAGTAATTGAGATAATCGAGATATATCTGCTAGCGTAGCTTCTGTCTCTGTTCGGTAGAACTGAGTATGGAAAGCTTCTTCCATTTCATCCCATGTCTGAATAGAATTGGCTGGTAAATTATTATACCATTTAAATGCCGCCACAGTGAGCGAGCTAGAAAATAACCTCATCCTCAACCAAGGATTGGGACCTACTTCACCACATTGTGCTGTGAACCTTGCAATGTGCTGCACCGTAAAAAAGATCTTTTCACCACTGTATAGAAAAATTGGGATACCGATAATTTCTGGGTAATTCATGGCCATCGACATGATCAGTATAAGGCTTCTTGTATACTGGCCAAGGATGTCCGCGTCCCTGTGTTACCTTGGCTTGAATTAGGGCTAAAATTTAAGCCCTATCGATCCCCGCAATTTGGCCTCGAGGGTCATTTGGGTGAAGCGAAACAAATGGGTTAACCCATTCTCGTTGTGGATTTGCAATTACTTGCCCCCCGGTAGCCGCCGGTGGTATTATTGGGTTCCTCTTCCTTGGTTCTGATTGTCCCTTTCTTGCTGATTTCTTAAAGGAAGAATCGGCTGCATCGGTGGACGTTACACATTTTGATTCTGTTGGTGATTTACTGGCGGCTGATATATCGGCATAGTAGTTATTGTTAGCGGATCTGATAATATCGGTGGATTACCAATCGGCATGCCGAGAGTTTGGTTCAACACATTACCGATTGTGATGCCGAGTGTTGGATTTGGCATCATGCTAATTGGCATGCCGAGAGTTGGATTTGGTAGCATAAATCCTGTAATCGTTAATCTTGGTTCTTCAGGAATAATCACTTTTGATGAAGAAATATGTTGAACCAATGACTCATGGATATTTGAAGCTTCGGCTTGATCAGTTCGGCTTTGAACAACTGATAGTTGATTTGATACTGAATCTACCTTCAGACCCATCCCATCTATGCGAGCTCCCAAACGGGCCTCCTGGCTTTCCATTCCTGCTGAATGGCTTCAAGCATTTGTATAATTAGAACATCCGATGGGAAGGACGTTCCTGCTATATGGGATCCGGCTTGGCCAATTAACTGGACTTCCTCTTCCTCGTTTGTATTCGTATTCTTTGAATTCTTCTTAAGAGGCATCTTTTTTATAAATAAATTATTCACCCAGTGGGGTCCCACCGGGTGTGCCAAAAATATTGACGCTAAAATCTGCTCCTTAGATCGGATTCAAAATTGATGTAAAACGGGAGTGCTAGAACCAATTATATGGTTCAAGTGTAAATTATCAACTTCAGTCCCTTTGAGTAGGTTGACTTTCAGACGATGTGAGGAAATAAATGAACAATAAAACTCCTCTTTGAGTTCAAGAATTGCCTTAATTAAAAGAACTTTTATAATAAATAATTTATAGTAATGTTTTAAGAATAGAAAGGGGAGAGAAATAGATATAGAAAGAAATATAGAGAGAGATTAAGAAAGAGAAAGATAAAACGAGATATTGAGAGAGAGAGATAGAGAAAAAATAGCAATGATGCTATTCTGGGAAAGGCTTGAGAAAACAAACAAATAAATATAATGATTCTGAGGGTGCTGTACCTCAATTTCAACATACCTCTTTGTTTATTTATTGAATAAACCGTTAACAAAATCTTACACATAAGCATTCTAGTTACACCCAAACTCTATCAACTAACTAACTACTGTTTTCAAATAAAAAAAAACTTAATCCTCTAGATAAACATAAATATGCAATTAAATAAATACTTCCTATGTACTTGTTACTTTCAGTTATCCAACTCTATCTATTGTGTCTTCAAACACAATCCATGCAGACCCAATTCTGTTGGAAAATTGCAACATCGTTATCCCTCTTGTGGTTCAGGCCCATAATCCAATTATTCAACCCAATTTAAATACCATGCGTCTTCAGCCCATTCTTTTCTTGCAAACCTTTACCACATCACTATACTTCAAGTCCAATTTTAGTGTAAGCCTAATTACCAAAATAGGTGTCAACAGAAAGTTGTGGAGAGAGCAATATGAGTGGTTTGAGTTGTAGCAGAAGAAGGTTGAAGTCTATTTGTTCTTGTTTCATGTTTCCGCTTTTATTTCATGTGACTTAGGTCCACACAACTCACATTAAACTACCTTCAGAATTTGTAATTTGATAGATTTATGAATAATAATAATAATAATATTCCTTGAGTCGGTATGGAGGCACGAACAAGTGACTTTAGGCCTTCCTTAATAATATATTATCAATGTTTGCATTCGACTTTACCATTTTACTCATGAGTGTGGGGACAAGATATACGAGGTTGAATACCAATAGCTAATAATAGCTTCATAAATGGTTGATATTCTCCTCCCAAATCAATTTTCATAGTCTGCCTCCAAACATATTTTCAATGCTTTTCTTAAAATGCATCAAAACTCATAATGCATCAGATTTTTTTAGTAATGGAATAAAACCAAGTAAATTTGTTGAGATTGTTAATAAACTCACATAATAATAATATGAGTAACGATTAAGACATCACTTGAACAGACCCGATACTAGAAAATATGAGATCCAAGCGACGAAACCACAACTGATGAATTTTGTCTAATTGACACTGTGACAAAAACTATGACTGTTTGAAGTAATTATACCATAAAAGAATGATTTCGAATAAAGGTGGTGTGTGTGAGAGTGTGAACCCACGACATAACATCATGCGGTGGCCTATTCATATAAATCCTAGTAAGTGTTTGATATCCCTTAATTAAGAGGATATATTATTACTCATATTTCTTAATAAAAATCTTACAGAATTGCAGGTATGATTTGTTGTTCCTAAATCACATAATATTTGGCCCTTTTGAAGCATCTCATTTTTTTTTTCATATTTATATATATATATATATATCACAAAACCCTATGAAACTCTTTCATCCTGTTGCCAAAACCCTTCATACACACACACACACACATTTATATATTTTGTTCACAATGATGGTGTCCGGTCTCATAAAGCACCCCATAATCCATCGGACACATGGTGTCTCTCCGTTCAGTATGTACCAGGCAAAATTTGAATACAAAAACCCCAGAGTTGTTGTTACATGGCGTTCAAGCATGCCAAATTTTCTCATCCTGCCATTAATCTGCGGCAGACCTTCTCAAAATCATCATACCCTCTCCGTCAATTTCGTTTGCCGGCGCGTAATTCATCTGATGGTAAGCAATGAATTCTTGTACTTGGCATTGCTAATACAATTGAAGGTTTTTATTTTTATTTTTATTTTTAATATTTATTTATTAAGTTCAGTTGTTAATTTTGTGCAATGTGTAGATGATGAAGATAGTGAGTTACTCAAATATGGTACTGACTTGACAAAGCTTGCTAAGAAAGGTGAGCTCGATCCGGTTATTGGCAGAGAGAGTCAAATTCAGCGTTGCCTGCAGATATTATGCAGGAGAACGAAAAATAACCCTGTTCTTGTTGGTTCTGCTGGGGTTGGGAAAACTGCAATTGCTGAAGGGTATGCACCTTTCTTACTCTTATCAATGTATTTATTATTATTATTTTTTTTCTTGTTAAAGATTTTGAATTCCGAGTTCACAAAGGTTAGGAAGTTTGCCCTTCTCTGCACCATTGATTAACGAACCACATTGGTTAATGACCCTTTTAAATTATAACGATTTACCAAAACGTTTATTAGTGCCTTTCCATTTGAGAAATAGTGTATTCTGTATATACTACACCTAGACAATTTATTCATTTATTTTTTTACAGAATTTGGTGGCTTAATTTGCATGTTTGGAATCCCCTTGCCTCTCAAAAATATATATATATATATATATATATATATATATATATATATCAATAAATACATCTAGTACGAAATTCTACGAATTATGGGAGGACCAAAACTAGCTTAAGCAATAAACCTTCTTTTGTATAATGCCATCACTCTGCCTTCGCATTCTTGGTGTCACTTTTTTCTCTAATGATAGAAAACTTGGTTTTGTGCCATCATTCTGCTTCTGCAAGCTTCATGTATTCTTCAAGATTTTTCTCTGACATGTGTTGTCTTAAGCCTAAAAAGGTGAGGATGGCTGCTTTGGGTAGTTACTGCTCACCACAAAATCTTTTGTCCCAATCTTGAGAATTTAATGTAAATTTTAGGACTTGTTGTAGATGACACTCTTAATCTAGACCAAGTGAGGGAAATGGATTAGCTAGAGAACTCACTAGACCAATGACCAATCTGTTGATATATTTTGGAAAATCCTGCAAATTATTATTTTAAGTAGATTTCCTATTATTATTCAAAATTATGTGATTTTTCTATTTTGATTCAAACTTTTGAGTTACTTTGCAGGATAGCTCAGCGATTGTGAGTGGGGATGTTCCCGAACCTCTATTGAATAAAAAGGTTGTTGCTTTTCTATACTTATTCTAGTTCTCTTTTTAGTTGAAAGCTTTTTACTTATTTTATTCAGACCTGTTAAAGACATTTTGTTGGGACATGATTCTTTGTTGTCTGGTACTGATATATATGTTAGTTCCTATTTTTCATGTAGTGGCTCAAATTTGTCTTTCTTGAACGACACCATCTAATGAGAGCTTTCCTTTCTCAATTTATTGCTCCCATGGAACCTTGAGTAGATTTTCATGTGGTAGTTTAATGGCATGTATGACCAAACAAATATAGGAACTTTGTAAAACTCCATCACGATATTTTAAGATCTAGCAAAAGGTTTAAGTTTGATAAAATTATAATATGGCTAAGAAAATTAAAGAAATCACAAATATCTGAACTAATAAAATGTGGGTTTTTTTGCATGTTACTCTAAACTAGCTTCTTTAAAGGTAGATAATGAATACACACACACACACACACACACACACATATATATATATATTTAGGATGAGCAAATGTTTGATAAAATAATAAGAGATTGAAGAGAAATAAAAAATGCAACAGCACAAGGATATACGTGGTTCGGCTACTATGGCCTACATCCACAGCACACAAAGTCCAAAGGGCTACATCACTTTATTATATTTCTCTTTGTTTTTTGTGTACAATGACCATCTTTTTTTTTTTTTTTTTTTTTTATAGGTGAAAGAATATAAGTGATAAATGTGGAAAACACATTGATGGAGGATTCCTAAAATCAATTCCGTAAATAACTCCTATCAATATTCTATCAAGGCTTAATCACTCCTATCAATATATTCTCCCAACAGTTTCAATTGCAAGTATTGATTGCTGTCAACAATTTTCAACTAAGTATACTAAAGCTATAAGAAGCATTTTTATAATATTTAGTCAGAATATTTTATAATGTTTCCCATCCTTGTAATAATTGTTTGCATTTTTTCTTGTACTTTGCAGGTGGTCTCATTGAATGTATTTTCACTAGTAGCTGGAGCTTCATATGTTGGCATGTTGGAGGAAAGAATGGAAGATATTCTGAAGGAAGTTACTGATTCAAAAGGGAAGATACTTATATTCATTGATGAGATACACACTATGATTGGTGCAGGTGTGTATTCAACATAGATTCATCTAATAGAAGTTATAGCAGTTGTTTTTTCTTCTTTAATTCAGGTTGCTAGAAGGGAAGATTTGAGAAAATATTTTGAATTAACCAAATCAAAAGTACTTACATATTACAAACAATATTTAAGTCTTACCCTGTCACTTTACTTCTCCATTCCAAAAATGCAATCCTTTCATTAGTAACTGAACTTATGACTAGGTTTCGACTTTTGGATCCTGTAATGACTCGCCTTGGACCAGTGTGAACCGATCCCCGTTAACAAAAAGTCTTTTCATGAATACTTGTACTTAGATAATGATAATTGTTTACCTTTGGGGGGAATGAATAAGATTGCTATTTTTAGTGATTCGTTACTTCCCCTCAAAGTGGCTGAGGCGATTATACTCAAAGTTGTTTATGGGGGTCCTCATCCCCTCTAAGTAGTCCATTTTTACTATTTCTGATTATCAATACAATGGTGTTGTTGGAGTTAATAATTTTATATATGATTTTGTTAGTTTGTGGCTGGAAGATTTTGTTACATGAAGAGTTGGAGGGATAACATAGTTGAGTTTTCATAAGGGATGAAGAAATTAACAGAGTGAATGTTGGAGGAGACTTTTGAGCAACAACAAAAAATGCTAAATATTTTGTAAAAACTATTTTTGCCAGATTTACCAGTATTTTTTTACTGTTTTTCTAGAATTGCTTTTGGAAAGCGCTTAAGTGGATCTCAACGAAAAGAACCCAACATTGACACTTTGCAATGATCAGCATATTTACAAGGTTCAATTGACAATCATGTTGGTGGCTGTTCATTCTTTTTGCTACATAACATAAATTCAATAAATCATATTTTAAAATTTGTAGAAAATGAAAGCTGGAGTTGAATAAAGAATCTGTCACAGTTATGCATCCACTTTCAGAAACATAGCTAGCAAATAAGATTTTTTTTTTCTTGACCACGGTATTGTGAATTGCATCAACTTTTCTTTCAACCTTTTTTTTTTTTTAAACAGCAGGAGGGTGGGTGTGTGGGGAGGGTTTGGTGGAGGACTTAATAAATTTTGTTGGGAGTTCTTGGTATTTACTGAATATGTGAGGTAACTTACAGGAAGCCATGGCCCCCTTGCTGCTAGCTTCTAACTATGAGTTATGTTGGTGAAAATACCACATGCTAGGAACCATCCTCCCACTGAAATTAAACATTTTCACTCCCATCTTCCATTCCCCCAATCCCACAAAAATGTATATATATATATATATATTGATATAAGTTTTTATAGTTTTGAATGACTTGTATCTGTTCTGGTCTTGAACTTGCTTTACCCTTTCTTCTTATTGCTCTAAATACATTATGTTCACAACTTCTTCCATTATTAATAAGTTCCATTTAGCTAAAAGTTTCTCATTATGAATTGTTAGAATTCTCACATTTCTAATGAATTAGTCTGGTCAAGAAGAAAAATCAATTTTACGAAGAATTGTTACACTAGTCATAAAAGAGGAAGTCAACAATGCATCTAGATCAATTGAAGCAAGAAATGTCACAAAAACAGTTCACGGGATACCCAGTGTTTTCCCTAGCTACGCAATATTTTTTCACTTAACTTTGATGTAAAGGTTTATTTTTCATAATTTCATTTTTATTTTGGGTATCTAATGTGAAATGAATTTTGAATAAGGAATAAATTAAGATTCTGCCTGGGACCTTACCAAGAGTACTGATATTGACCCCCTTTCTCATGACAAACTCTTCTTTCATTAACTAATCTAATTGTTGGGTCTTGTTTGTGGTATTGAGAAAAATAAATTTCTTTATTGGTCCAGTCTGAAGCATATTCTTTGCTATATAATGTTATATAATGTTATATATATATATGTGTGTGTATATATATATATATATATATTTCAAACGAACTGTTTGAAACTTGTTGATTCTAACAACTGATTTCCAGTTCATATGAAACTATGAACTCTTAAATTCACAGAAGAAGGTCTCCAACTTATAAATGGGCATGACCTAAAAACTCGAAAGAAAGAAGGGGAAGTGTTATGATGAAATGAGATGCTACGTGGACAAGAAGAAAAGGGATTAATTTGGACAAAAGAAATGAAATGGCTTACACAAATCTTTTTTTTCAGTAACCTCATATCTGTCTAGCAAAACTGAAATATCTTCCATAAATCTTTTCTTTACTGAAGTTTCGAAGTGTTAGGAAATTGATTGCATCTAGTTTTGACAATTAAGAAGAAGAATTGAATCTTTTGTAGTTTTATGGATGGATAAGAAGGCCACTATAGACCCATTTTTGGTTCTGTCTATGTGGGGAGCTGGGAGGAAAGATTGGACACAAACCTAACTTTTGGTATTTTTTGCTCAATGTGGCTTATTATGTAGTCAAACCTCTATTATCATGCTTTTCAGTATGAACTTTCACTATTTCACCGAGTAATCACTTTGTGTTCTATGTATTGATAAATCTAGTCCTCGCTACATTGTAGGTTCTTACGAGGGATGTGACTTGGATGTTGCAAACATGTTGAAACCAGCACTTGGCCGAGGTAAGCTTCAAGTCATAGGAGCAACCACCTTGGGAGAGTACAGAAAGTATATAGAAAAGGACCCTGCTCTTGAGCGTAGATTCCAGCAAGTGTTCTGTGATCAGCCATCTGTACAAGACACAATCTCCATTCTTCAGGGATTGCGCAAGCGCTTTGAGTTGCATCATGATGTTGAAATATCAGAAAAGGCCCTAGAAAAGGCTGCAGTACTTGCAGACCGGTATATTATGGACCGTTTTTTGCCTGATAAAGGTAGCTGATGGTTGAATAATTTCACATATATATACAAGTGTGTGTGTGTGTTTATTTGGCATGAGAAGACTTAAAGCATGTAATCTTCATTTATGCTTGTAAACTAACTTCTAGTAATTATTTCACGTTCTCTATTGTTGTTCCTATTTAATACTCTTTTTGCAAATATGTGACTTAACTTCACGAAGTTTAGTTGCACTAGATTTATTTATGGGATGAAAAAGTCCCTTATATATAATCATATGAACACTTACAATAATAATTTGGACACTAACCTCATTCTGCTAAATCTTTGTCTCCGATTTTTCAGCCATTGATCTTGTTGATGAAGCTGCTGCAAAGCTGAAAATGGTGACCACTACAAAGTCTGAGGCTCTGGATGCAATA